GGTTCTAAAAAAAGATGAGGGTGGACATGCGTTTTTGAGTTTATAGATAAAATTAAATCAACAAAGTTTATTTAATCGTAATGTGGTTATTTATTTCTCTGAATTGCTGACACACGAACAGCTCAGGGAGTGGGCGGGGATTTACTATTTTCAAGCCTACATTAAGCTTAGTAATAGTAACCTGTACTCTAATAGTAACCCACCCTGAAAAATCAAAGAATAGTAACCCAGGGTGGTTATTAGAAATCTTTTTGTTAATTTAAATACTGCACAGACAAGATATTTACAAGTTATGTATAGAATTATTGGATGTATTTGAATTTTCTTTGAGAATTCTGTACATTTTTACTATGAGTGCATTGGCATTTGAGAAAAACTGTTTGGTGATTATAATAATAATACTAATAATTTTAGTGATGATGATGGTAATAGTATTAACATTCAGCGTCCAATAACAATTAAATGAATAGAGTTGTGTCTAATTTCATGGCCCTGAGTACAATTCTTGTAACAGCATGACTTTTTCTCAACTAAATACTGTATATAATATATTTATACATTTTTTCTTTGAAGTTTGTACAACTTAGATGAGTTCGAGGATGGATACGTCGCTTTGAAGCCTACTCTTATTGATGCTGCCTTGCAGGAAGGTGATGCACATGAGGTCATGCTTAGTTCGTTTATATTACATCCGACAGAAGTTAACAAAGGTTAGAGCTTGGCAATTGCTGTTTATTTGGGAATTTTTTGTAAAATCGAATTAGGAATTCTTGATAGGGCAAATTCTATTCGTGTCACCGTTTCTGGGCCTTTCTCAGGGTCCTCCCACATGCATGTCATGTCCATGTAGTGGTCTGAAGTCTTTAGAATAGGTTACGACGACAACAAAAACTGTATGGAGATGATGCGTGAGAATTACCCTCCGGAAACCCCCAGCTATGGTGTCTATAGAGAGAGAATGATCAAGTCTGTAATTGAATCGGTGTATAGTAAATTGGCCATTCCTTATCCCTATTTTCGCATTATTTTTTTGAGCGTGCGGTCATATCTGTAACTGATATTTTAACCAATGCAACAGATATCATTATCACCAAAATTTGTTATGCCAAATGTGCTCTGATCTTTTTTCCAATGTTTCTTATCTGTCAACATTAATAAAGTAGATGCATATTGTTTACATTTTTATGTTGACAATTCAGTTAAGCCAATACTACTTAATGATTTATTAAAATGATTGTTATTAGCTGGGGTTTGCATCATGGCAAGCCCTCTATACACTTCAAGTTATTACTCCTGTCATTGGATTACATACCTAGTAATCCCATTGGGATTATTCCATAATGTTACTGCTCAATATCACTGCACAGAAATTCAATCCGAGAAAGTACTTACTTATACTCCTGGGTACCGAGGTACATTAGGAGTAAGTGCAATGACCAAAGATGCAACCAAGCAATTGGTTTAGTCTTGAACCCTGAGTGTGTAGTTGTACCAACTTATCAGTAACCCAGTATTAATATCGATGTACGAGGCAGAAAATCTTCAAATAATCACTATTATCTACAGATTATGTCAGTTCCAGAAAAGAACAATATTAAAAAAAATTATTTTGTTTAGCTATGAATGCAAAGAAGAGGAAGATGATGCCTCCTGGCCAAGGAAGGTAAACATAAGTTAATTCTCAATGTTCTTATTGGAGCTTAGGTGACAATTTTTATACTTTGTTTAGTAATTTTTTTAATATCTTTAGAGGAGAATGGAAGATTAAAAATGAGCATGGTTTTGAAAAATAAATGTTCATGCCTGAAGTAAGGAGTCAAACTTATTAGATAATCAGCCAAACTATTTGATTAGCCTTGATTTGCCTTGTTCTTGGAGCTAAAGTATTAATGTTTATTTGCTCCGCTGTCCAAGTCTCTTACATTATGGTTTAAACTTCTGGTGGTGATTTCTCCAGTTTTCTAATTGTCTGCGGATTCACAACTTTTCCTGATAAACTATTCCAGTCATTGATAATTCTGGCAATAAAATTATGTTCTCCCCATTTAGTTTTGACTTGCCTTTTCTTTAATTTTAATGAATGTCCCCTAGTGCATGCAACTGATGACAATTTAAATTTTAATGATTGAATATTATTTTTTAGGCCTGTGGATGGACTTTCATTAAGAGCAGAAGAACCGTCAACATCTGAAAATATTGTCTTTAGGAGGGAGCTAACACCCTTAGGTAAGACAAAAGTTACTGTGTTAGAAAGACAATTAGTCACACAATTTTTGTAACTGAAGCCCCCAAAACTGTTTGAGTCTAAGGTGCTTTGACCTAAAAAAAATAAATTGTTAGTTTTCCCTTTCATGCTGAAAATTGTATAGGAGGGGTTGGGCGCAAAAAAAGTTTTTTTTTAAATTTTTTTTTTCCTGTCACCAAAACTAACATAGTAAATTGCAGTGCTTGCAATTAAGCCTGTCTCACTCTTGATTTCAAAGGGTATTCATCAGACTGAATAAAAATAACTCATAATTGATATTTTCCAATTTTTTTAGGCCTAAAATGGCAATACCTTACATCAGACACCAAATTTAGACAACTTTCATATGCAAAACTTTTTTGAAAGATTCCGCCCCTATTTTTTCATGAGCTAGGGACAGGCGCTGGAGGGCAAAACAACCAATTTTTTTTTTAGGCCTTATTCGAACATTCACAGTAAGCCATTTTTTGAGACTTGATGTGTAGATTTGTTTAGTCATGATAGCAAATCCTGGTATCTCATTGGATTTGAACCCAGAACTCTGGAATTAAAGGCAAGCATCTTAACCATTTACCATTAAGCTACTGCTTCTCTCCTCTTCATTACCAAATTCAATTTCTATGATTTCCAATTAATTGCTTATTATGTAAAACTTTGAGCAGAAAATTGTCCTTGCATACAAACTTGACTTCATGACTCAGATGCTAAAGCAACCAAACCGTAGCAAGAAGTTCTTGAGCTCGAATCCCAAATAAGACACTTGTTTATTTTATTTATATAGCATGTTTTTATTCTTATTCTTTCAGACATGGGTAGGATGATGGACCTTGTGTATGTTCCACATGTAAAAGATGTTCCTAGATTTGATGGCAATCTTGAAGATTTGTTTCCTGAATATGATTAATTTTAAAATAAGAAGGATCTCAACCAGACAATGAAGAAAGCATTGTAGTGAGCTGAGATACGCTGCAACAAACACTCTTCCTGCCTATTAATACATACATTATTTATTTATGATCTTATAAAAAAAAAAAGATATTTTTTATTTGAGTGTTATAGTAAGAAGACATTTTTATATGCAGAATTGTATTGTTTTATAGTTTCTGCAATTATTGTAAAAAGAAAATTGTTTTGAGAGTTATTGTTTATTCTGAAAATGAATGATTTAAAATTTCAAGTATCTAAACAGGACCATGAGCAAGTAATATAGTAAGCTGAAATACATTGCATGGTTGAACAAAATAATATCATGGTACTAAAGTTGGCTACCTATTCTGCCTATTAATTGTTTATGATCTTATCCAGAAAAAGGATATCTTTATTCAAGTGTTACAAAAAGAAAACATTTTTATATCCAGAATTGTATTGTTTTATAGTTTGTGCAATCACTGTATTGCAAAATTTTGCCTTGAGAATTGTTTATACTTTAAATAAAAACATTTACTGTACTGTATTTGTTTTAATTGTGTACTATTTGTATTTAAGTATTTGTATTAAATGTATTTGATAAGTCCAATTTTACGTATTTCAGGATATAATCATTTTATAACTGTTGAATTATTTTTTAAGTATAACAACACGAATTCTCCACCAAAAACGTTTTTTTATGATGTACATGTAACAGGCTCAGATGAAATCTTGTTCGTTGAGCATGTTCCTCCAGTTTTCATACAGGTTTCTGAATTATTATTGGAAATCTTAGGTAAACTATTTTTTTCTATTTCAGATGGGTCAGTGGATTTTAATATTTATATAAACAAGTTACAGAAAGTACCCATTGTGACAACATAATTTATCAAGACATAAGCCTTTTTATTTATTTATTTAAAAAAATGTTTATCCTCGGTAAATGGATCAGTAAAAGCATGACATATTTCAAATTTCACTTCCCCTCCTCCCCGGAAACACATAGTAATGAATAGAAACAATAAACAATTCAATAGAGGAAAACATAAGCCTAAATGACAAAGCTCAAGTAGTCAATACAATTTAAACATTAATCATAAGTGTAAGTACAGTATAAAGATTCTAAATATTCAGTTGTTAAAGCTATCAATAATTTAAGTGCAAGTAGCCAGCTTAAGATTAATAGTGTACACTAGATTACCAACTCCCTCGGGCAGAGTTGGCATCCTCGGAACTGAAGTCCGCTTTCTAATCACTCTTTAGTTGCAGCTTGTGTTTCAATAAATTATTTTAGTTAAAAAATGATACTACTGTACCCGCAGCTTATTTACTTCATAATTAGTTTTTCTGCCTTTCCGGAACATTCTAAGGATATAATTCCTTCCATTTTCCTGATAATGTGAACTTTGATCTGGGAATAAATTATTTTGTACAGAGCTGTATGTTCAGCTGCCAAGAACAAGAACTAAAATTTTCATTATGTGTTTTTCTTTTCCTTTTTTAGTGGCTAGAAACTGCGCTGTATATAGTTGGTAAATAGAGGTAGGCCTACTGTAGGACATTTGTTTACATAATATTTGTTAACATCGTTTTCTTCCTCTTGCGCACCTCAATATTTTTATTTATTATTCTCCTTTATCTAAGCGTATGGCCAATTTATTTTCTACTTTTATTACATCTATTAATAGCATCCCCGTAACTGTTGCTCTCTGCTGCATGTCCAAATTTCAAATCAATCTCTCCAATAAAGGTTCCTCTAATTTTAATCTAACATTTATAAACGTTGAAGTTATAAAATTAATTCGTCAAATATATCTTCCAATATATATTTTTGTTGTATGCCTACATTTTATTACCTGTTGTTATTTTAGTGTGAATGATCTGTACAATCGATAAAATTTGTTTTGTGTCTAAATTTATAACTGCTATAACTTTCAATCTTGCGAAAATGGATCGCATTTGGTATAATAAAAAAAAAACAGGGCCGGCGGAACGTTTTTCAAAGTGGGGGCCCCACTTATAAGATGAATGAGAATATAAAATCATGCAGATCTGGAATCAAATCTAGGGGTCAGGGGTCCTCCCCCCGGAAAATTTTGATTTCTAGATGGCGGGAAATGACTTTTCTCGACTTTTGAGCTAGGTGTCGAATTGTTTTGTTCTTCAAAAATCAAGGTTTTCCCCCTCTTGAAAACGGTCAGGTAGATTTTCTCATTCTTATAAATAGGCCTGATATGTGTGCAAACACTCCCCCGGGAAAATTTTGATTCCTAGATGGCGGGAAAGCTTTTCCAACTTCTTAGGTGTCTTAATTACTTTTAAGTTCTTCAAAATTCAAGGTTTCCCCCTCTTAAAAACGGTCAGGTAATTTTTCCCATTACTTTTACAGTAAATAGGCCTTATGAGTGTATACATACATAAAAGTATATAAAAAAAATAGTAGTTGCATACGATTTTTCCCCATGGATCGATAAATCTCAAAAAGAAAGGGGGGGGGGGTTCTGGGGTTCTCCCCCGGGAAAATTTTAATTCCTAGAAGGCGGAAATTAGTTTTCCCGACTTTTGAGATGTCTTTTAATTATTTTTAAGTTCTTCAAAATTCAAGGTTTTCTCCTCTTGAAAATTATTATAATGAATCAATAAACCCAAAGAGAAAAGGGAGGTTCAGGTTCTCCCCGGGAAAATGTTAATTTTTAAATGGTGGGAAATAAGCTTTCCAGACTTCTGAAGTATCTTTTAGCGACTTCAATTTAAGTTCTTCAAAATTAAAGGTTTTCCCCTCTTGAAAACGGTCGGGTAATTTTTTTCCCATTGTTATTACAGTAGATAGACCTTAGGCCTATGTGTGTATACATACATAAAAAAAAATGAGTACAGTAGTTGCATACGAATTTCTCTTTCCATGAGTCGATAAATCCCAAAAAAAGGGGGTCCGGGGGTTCTCGCCCGGGAATATTTTGATTCCTAGAAGGCGGGGAATGAGCTTCCTGACTTCTGAGGTGTCTTTTAATTACTTTTAAGTTCTTCAAAATTCAAGGTTTTTCCCCTCTTGAAAATGATTCAATGAATCAATGAACACAAAAGAAAAAGGGAGTCCGGGCTCTTCCGGGAAAATTTCGATTTCTAGATGGCGGGAAATGAACTTTCCTGACTTCTGAAATGTCATTTATAAATGACTTTTTAATTTCTTCAAAATTCAAGGTTTTCCCCTCTTGAAAACGGTCAGGTAAATTTTTCTCATTTTTTATTTTATGTGTGTATACATAAACAAATGAGAAGTTGCATGCGTATTCTTTTTTTCCATGAATCGATAAATCCCAACAAGAAAGGTTGGTCCGGGGGTTCTCCACCGGGAAAATTGGGATTCCTAGATGGCGGGAAATGAGCTTTTTCGACATTTGAATTGTGTTTTAATGAATTTTATGTTCTTAAAAATGTTTAATTTTTTTAAGTGTAAAAAAAAAATCAGCTCACGGGTCCTGAAAAGGTAGGTATAGAATTCTTTTTCTTCCCTTTTTTTTTTTAGCCCAAGGGAGAGTCAGGACCGATAACGCCCTCCCCCAGATCCGCCAATGTGAATTGCGAGAAAATGTAACTCGGTCGGGAACTGGATAAACATTCTCTTTCACATCCTTCTCCTCCTTCTTCCCACTTTCTTTTCTTGCATTTCTTTCCGATCATACACAAATCTCCAGACATTATATATTCTTTTCTAAAACGTGGGGGGGGGGCGCCCCCCCGGTTCCGCCGGCCATGAGAAAATAAAAAAAGAAGACACAAATTCAGTATTTTTCAAGTAACCATCCAACGCCAGCATTTATTTTTTGACTTGAATTTAATGCTTACAACAACAGAATCACATGCACCTTAATATTCTCAACATTTCTTTACTGTTTTGTAAAGAAAGTTGTTGAATCACTGCACAGAATTCGCTACACTAACAACGTTTAAATACATAGTTTATTATTAGATCTACTTTCCTACTTACCAAAAGGGTGACAAAATGATTTTTTTATCCCCAAAAATTTCTATTATAACTATTTTATTTTCAACCAATAATATGTATTTCTTTTAAAATGATTCCAATTAAAATTAAAAGGGAAAATCAAAACCAGATAAAGAGTGTTTGAGAAATATGCTGCAACCAAGAGTTATGGTAGAGTACATTCGATCAGAGAGTAATATAACTGCAGGAGGTCCGACTCGCGGGATTCGCAGGAACACAATTCTATCTCAAAAAGTATTATTACGAACTAGAGGGCATCCTTCAAAAAAACTTCGGACGTAAATAGGGCGCCCCCTATCTCGGGGTAGTATTTTTTAACGTTTCATCGCCTGCATACAATCATTCTATACCCTTTGATTCAATGAAATTAAAGCGTAACATTTATTTTACATTGCGTGAAAAGGTAGATTTTGAGCATTTCCAGAAGTTCATAATTTTTATTCTATTATTTTTTTGCTTTAATAAATAAAAGTTAAATCTTCACAACCAAATAATATCTAAAATTCATTTAAATTGTAGTTGTTATATGTAAGCTAAATATATACCATAGAATATCTTAACTACTGTAGTAAAAATAATGGTGATATTTAAAAAAAACACATCTAACTACTATATCATATTGATAGTTTTTCTTATTAAATAATCTTATAAATTATTATAATTGGCAAGTTGTTTGCTGGTTCTGATGACCTAAACATCAGTACTAATAATGTCAAATTGCTAATTAGTTCAAATAGTTAATAGAGAGAAAGAAGAGACGATTACGATTAAGTGTAAAAAAGTCGGAACATGTTTTGAGATTGCTCAAAATATAATTAGCCTTTTGTATCAATAATTATTCGTTGTACCAAGTACTTAATTATAATGAATATAATGATCTTATTCATAATAAATGTTAGGGTAATACTGAATATTTTTAATTGGATAATAGAACTGGCGATGACTATTGAGGAACAACTTTCTAAAATTAACACTTTTGATGCAATAGTTCATTTTCCAAAATTATCCAAACTTTGTATTAGGCCTAGGTGTTTTATACTATTCATAATGTAATTTCTCATTTTCTCAAAAGTATTATAACATCAAATCTTAAATTACACAAACTTAAGGAATCTGCTAATGTTTAGTTTTTTTGTTTTTTGTTTTTTTAATCTAGCCTAAATAGATATAGTGGATTATTTTTTATTTATTTAGTTGGTTATAGTATAGTAAGAATATTGTTTATTATTGCAAAGGAAGGATTTGGAGTTATCTAATTACTGTAAGCCATTTTTGTAATTATAAATTTTCGGTTTCAAAATGACTATACACCCTGAAAACACGCGCGTATGTTTATCCGATTAACCAATCACCAATCTTCAACACATACATATACATCACCTGCGCAAATGCTGTTTTGTTTTTTAACATTTAGCGTTAGCAATACAATGCGTTATAAATTTCTTTATTTGAAAACAAAGGTAGCTGCTTATCTAATATATCTACAAAGTTTATTTTCATTCTATTAAGTAAAAATTCTGATATGAAACTTGGATAATCGATATAGCACATTCACCAAACACTCGTTCCTTTTCTCTTGTGCGCATACTTTGCATTTAAAACCTGTACTACGCAATTATTACACATTTTTCATCTAAAGCTAATTAACACGTTTTATGCGTGTAAGTTCAGTATGATGCGTGTTTCAAATGTAGTCTCAGCTTATTCTTGATTATTCGTTATTAATATACACAGTAGTAATGTCACCACACGCCTTTTCATTTAATGTAGGCTTAGGCCCACTGTATTTTCAATTCATCTTTTAAAATAGACGATTGTATAATTTTGTCACATAGCCTTACAATAAGCACTAAAAAAGGAAAGCTAGACACAGATACATTTGCAGCGCAGGCAGCAGATTTTAATACTTGTGTGATTACACAAAATACTGTTTTATAACAACCTTGTTTTAATGTTGACGCTTTTACTTTTATATATTTTTAAACAATAGTAGGCCCCTATATATTTTTTGTTAGTGCTTACTTTACACTCTTTAGCGAACATATACCCTATTGGGGATCTGTCTCTGTGTCATCTATTTGAATTTCAGCTTACTCTATGTACGATTATTATGCAAGTATTTAAATGTTTTAAACGACGAAATAAATTATATAACTATGATATAACCAAAAATGACGGGAGAGAATCTATATCCAAGGATCCGATAGGCGCGCCTTTTGAAGAAAGTCACTGCATCCACATGCTATAGTATTTTGGTTTATAGTTCTTTTTGACGATCCAAGGTATTCTTCCGTAAAATTTACTATAGATTATTCAGTCAGTGGCACATGAATAAGTTTTCTACAGACGTCATGTATCGATTCTAAAGGTTGCAACAACGTTTCTCGTTGGTTTAGCATGGTTTGTCTTGAGGGTTGTTCGGAATAAAATTCGCAAACAACTAATGAAAGTTCCTAAAGTCGTGGTTCCGTCTCTCGGTTTCGATGACGTATACACCGACTGGTTACACGTTTATCCCAAGCACCTCTTTGCGGAAGTTAGGAGCAGTGTTAAGAATGACTATGGTCGCAATAACCAAATAAATACTGAAGAATATCAGTCCGAAGCGATCTAAAACCATGGCGGCAAACTTCCAGTCTCCTACAACCTCTTCATCATCGTCATTTTTCTTGAAACGCTCTGTCATGAAGTGGAGTTCGTCTAGGACGTTATCCATTTTGTCACGGGCCTGTATTCCCTGATTGTCGCGACCAATAATCGTTTTATCCATCAGCCCCTCTTGTTGTTCATGGTAGCTCGCGTACCTGACTCCAATCACGCCAGTTGGACCTTGTTGATGCAGT